TGTCCAGCATAGGATTTACACTGGCACTGTACCTAAGTTACCTAACCAGTACCTAACCAAAGTTCCGCCCCTTACCCCCAATGATGTACAAGGAGATGAAACTGCACCTGGCAGGTATGTTGGAAAGGGAAGTAAGATTCCTGAGAGTAAGATTCCATGAGCAGCCCCAATAGTCATGGTCAAGAAGAAGGATGGAAGTTGGCGCTTTTGTGTTGATTACAGAAAATTGAACGCTATTACCGATAAGGATGCATTCCCTCTTCCCCGGATAGAAGAAACATTGACATTTTAACTCAAGTTGAATGGTTTAGAACATTTGATTTGGTGATTGGCTATTGGCAAGTGGGGGAGCATGTTGTCGATCACCCAAAGACTGCTTTTACAACTCCTCTGGGGCTATTTGAATTCCATCGTATGCCGTTTGGACTGTGCAATGGACCAGCTACATTCCAAAGATTAATGCAACACTGAGTGACTATATTGTAGACTTTCTGTTGGTTTATCTGGACGATGTTATTGTATAGTCCATAGATTTTAACACCCATTACACTTGTACTCAGATACCCATCCACTTTCATAGTAAAAAAAAAAAAAAAAAAAATATATATATATATATATATATAGCTGTGAGCAGCGATAACGGGCCCAAGCCGGTGGTACCGCAACCCTGGCTCCTTTAGTTACCTAGTGAAAAAAACATGTAATTTCAATAGCAGTTGAATGTTGCGTTGTCATGCTTGGCACATCTTTAAATGTAACCATATTCTTGCCAGTGTCATGATATAATCCACATTTGACCCAAAATTGAGTTTAAATGGACATACGTGCATATTGTACAGTAACGGTGGTCGATACGCGTTCTTCCGATCATTAATTAGAATGACCAAATCGCGTTCATATTGACAGATAAATAGGCTACGCTCAGTTTATCAAATACGCTCAGTTTATTAAATGTCTCATGCAAACTATGAAGAGACAATGAATCAATACACTGACATGGCGATGCTAGACTGATAGGCTACTTTATTTACACAATCCTACCGCAATTTTGTCGGATATGAGTTGCATTTTATTACAGATATGAGCTGCATTTTATGATCATCAGCTAATTTCAAAATCAAAGACATACATCAATAAGATCATTTAGTTCTTTACTTGAAGATAATTGTGTGATTGTGAAGATGATTACTTACTTTCACTTTTATTTGCGATGTTTGCACGTTGGCTTGATGAATAGACGCTCGGTGAGCTGCGGTGATGCGTGTCGCAGTAGCGCCGTCATATCTGACTATAACATGTCATATAGCCTATATAACACGCTCTCACTCGTTTATTTTTTGGCATTTTTGGGAGGAGTAAAATATGGTTTCAACAACCAGATTGCATTTACACCTAGTAAAGATCCAAACACACTGCGAGCCAGACTACCTCTAGATGGTCAGGCAGATCCGATCACAATCCGATCACAACGTATTTACACCTTGCATTAACATGCCTTTTTTATTATCCGGATAACTTATCTGGATACAGATCGTATTTTAATACCAGGTGTATAGGGTCTCAGAGACGAGACCGACGAGAAACTTCACGAGACCGGCGAGATGCCTCCACAGGGCGGGGAGATACGCTGCGTGATTGACAGATTTGACAGCAAATGAAAATACATGGAAATCAGATGACATGATTTCACAACTTTTCATTGGTCATTTAGATAATGTAAAGCATGCTGTATACGGAAATGAACCTGAACATTCTATCAGTCAAAAAAATCTCAAAATCGGCAAAATGGACATACGCAGTTTTCATCAAACAGCGACGATATAAATATATATATATATATATATATATATATATATATTACGGGACAAGACAGGATATTACTTGCCTGATCTGATTAGAACAATAATGTCTGTGTGACGCGTGATTGAACAATGGAGACATAAAAGCATACTGTACTCTGTCCTTTTGTTCATACAGGAAATTATTCAAACTGGAATATATATATTTGTGTACACTCGCAATATAACACAACATTGTGCTTGTGTCAAACTATAAACTCTTGTCAAACTGTAACCTACAACTGTCAAGCAACCAAAATCTCTCTCTCTCTGCCATCTTTTGCACTTTCATCATGTCACATTGGTTTTAATTTCTTGTCCTCGAACAGAGCCCTAATCTGTTTATTTTACAGTTACACCGTCACAGTCCTCGTCTGCACCAGTCTGTCCTGTCATCAGCACTACACTTCCCAGGATCCTCTTGTCTCCACTCCTGAACTCACTCCCTCATCAACCACCTGTGCATCGTCCTCATCATCTGTATCACCTGTTTTCACCTCATCATATTTGATTCCTCCTTGTATTTAGTTCCCTCTGTTTGATTCAGTCTTTGTCGGTCGTTGTAAATGTTACCCTTAGTTTTGGTGAGTGTTTCTGCCTGTTTGCCTGCACCTGTTTTGAGTTTAAGTAAAGGAATTGAATTGGAGCATTTGCCTCTTCTGTCTTCTTCTGCCTGCACTCCACTACAACCGTGACATACACATTCTACATTGATTAAAAAAGAAAAATCAAATGTGTTTTTTTTTTTTACAGAAATCAATTATTTATAATTCAGCTGAGAATAAAGTTAAGGTTAGTTCAAATTTTAAGAAAAACAAATATATGATCTGAAATATAGCACATTCATTTTAAATTCTTTCAGGTTCAATTACCAAAAATACAATCTTAATTTAATTTAAAGCAAATAATAAATCTAAAATATATGGGTTGTATGCATATTTTGTTAAAAAAAAGAAGATATTGTAACGATCACCAGCTGGAGTGCCCCTGAGAAACTCCAGAGGGCACTCCAGATAAGACTATTTTCATTCACAACTACATTTCCCATAACTCACTGCCTGGACTCATCATCACTGATCACATCCACCTGTACCTCATTCACTGATTGCATTTACCTGTCTCATCATCCTGTTAGTCTGGCTATATATACCATGTTCATTCAGTCACTCACCGCGAAGTCTTGTTTAAGTGTCACACTGCATTTCTGAGCGGTTTCTTTTTTCCTGGTTCTTGATCTCTGCCCGTGTCCTGGTTTTCCCTTTCCTGCCTCACCCTCTGGATTTGTTTGTTTGTTTGGATTGCCTGCCTGTGTATGACCTGTGCCTTGATTTTGATTACGCTTTGGATTAACCTTAATAAACTGCATTTGGATCCTCAAGCAGTTTCGTAACAGATATATATCCAGAAAGACAAGGCCTTAAACTTTAACAGGGGTGCAACTCTTATCACTGCAACTAACAGTCACACACACAAGACACGTCACTTACATTTTAGATGCAATATTGACTTTGACTTTCAGCAGAGAAAAATAGTTAGACAGCGAACCATCGCGCATCTCAAAGCAATGTGTTTTCTCATTACTGAATGATTCAGCATTTTAAACGAATGAATCGATGACTCGTTCATTAAGGCGGTCGCCTGGCGACACCTTATGGCGATTTAGGGTTATGTTTAAAAGTATTGTTCTTTACAACGGTAGCATGAAAATAGAGACTAGTAGGTTAAAATGATTAAATGTTAAAATGGCTTGCCATACTCTATCTGTCGTTTCGACTAGTCACAATTACGTTACAGATATCTTAAATGATAAAACAAATTATCCAAAATGTAATTACGACTAGCCAGAAAGACATTGTTGATATCTACAATGTTAATTCTGGATAGTCAAACTTAGCTTTTAAATGTTAAAAGGTCTTGCCATACAGAGACATAGGCTCAGAGAGAGGCTCACCATATTCAAACCAAAATATCTGACTTTCTGTTGGTCAGACCTAATTATTGTAAATTAGAAAGTTGTCTGGCTCGAGGAGAACAATATACATATCGATTTTTGTAACTGTAATAATAATAATTAATAATAATAATTTATTAATAAAAAATAAAACTAATCCCCCCACTTTTGACAAAAGGTGGCGCTACTGAGCCCTCACCACGCCCGTTTCAGAAACTTTGCACATGTCTACTGGCTAAGAAATGCCAGTAGAACACATAAAGTTTGAAGCAAATCAGGTAAAAATAAGAGGGATATTTCAAAGCATTTTAAAAGTGACACTTTTCCTGCTGCCAGTTGGTGGCGCTATAACTTTGATTCACAATAGTCACATCCATGTGACCCGCCTCTTACAACGAACGCACTGTTGAAGTTTCACCAAGATCAGTTAATGTGTAAAGAAGTTATAACACACTTCCTGTTTCTCTTTTCGCGCCATAAATTCGTTTCCTCGCCACGGCCAAACCGTTCAAAAATCCCCTCGCAAACTTTCATCCTCAATGTCTTGACTTCATGCTGACCGAGTTTCGTGACGTTTGTTTGAATTCTCTAGGAGGAGTATTTCAAATTCCATTGCATGTGTTTTCCAAACAATCCTAAATATCCGACTTCCTTTTGGGCTGGGGTAAAAAGTAAGAGTGCCGAAGTATATATGATTCGATGAGATCTATATGTGTACCGAGTTTCATATTATTACATGCAAGCGTGTTTGATTTATGGACCAAGTTTTCGGAGCCCATTGCAGGGGGCGCTGTCGAGCCCCCCTGCCACGCCTGGGTACTTTCAGCCCGGCCCTGATGGCCACGGGTTCTGACCCATGTGCAAAGTTTCAAGAGTTTTCGAGCATGTTAAGGGCCCCAAAAGTGCCTGAATAGTCGATAGAACCGATTTATCCTATGGAAAACAATAGGGCCTACGCCCTTTCAGGGCTTGGGCCCTAAAAACATTCTGCAAAACCATGGAGGACAATCCTACAGATTTGTAATGACAGGATATGACTGAATTACACTTTTAAGGGATGGAATTTTGCACAAATTGAAAAATGAAAATGTCACCTCAGCACATGCATATTTGCGTTTCTAGACTTCAAATATAAAGACAACAGGACAAATGTACCATATTACAAATACAAGAAATATTATTGAAAATGGATTGGAAAACAACAATTGTACCTTTAATCCTGCAGTGTTTCCAGACTTGATGATGACGGTAGTCTCTGGTGCACGACTCAGCAGTGCAACAACAGATTGACGGATTTTGGCCACTTCATGCACATAAAATGTTACTGGGTGAAAAACCCGGTGGGCAAAGATTGTAAAGACAACGACTGCATGAGGACCACCAGCGATTTCATCAATATCATTGCTGATATAATGCAAGTCAGTAATCAACAAGTAAGAAATACGCAAAGGAACACCGTGTGGCCTCCAGTGAACAATGATGTTATTTTTTAACTCTACAGCCATCAGGGGTCCACTCAAACGATGAGTGTGCAGGTTCATTCTTTGTATACCTAAATAAGTAAAACTGAAATTAGACTCGTTGCTTTATATTTCTTAAACAACTTTCCAAAGCCATCAATGTCATTTATGAACAACTTGCCTGGCACTTTTTGTTCTAAATACTCAAACCACTGCCTTGTGGTGGAGTCTCCCATCAAGTAGACAATCTTGTTTTTAAGACAATTTCCCATTTGTATGGAATTGAACTGTTGGGTGTTGCACACAAAAGACTTCCAGACATCTTTCAGATAAAACCCTGCAGGAACTGGTGTCGTCATGCCAGATCTGCATCTCTCCATTGTGCCTAAAGCAAAGAAACATTTACCTGAAGAGATTGTGCCATAATTATGCAAATTCTTAATTCTTTTGCAACTAACTACAATTGATTTTAGATTATATCTGTCCTGATATATGAACATACCGTTGCCTGTAGTGTTGGGAAGGACATTTATTATTTGTGTGTCTCCAGTAATAGCAACATTTGTTAATTTCCTGTGGAGAAAAAAAAATCTTCCGCAGTTTGTCTAGTTTTACAATTCCTCTGTAATTAATTTTGAATCCTTTCCCACTTACGTTGTGAAAATTTGATTCTCAAAAGGATTTAATGGGCTTTCCAAACTTCCAGTAGAGTGATGAACCAGTTTGTCACAAGAAAGTTTCTTCGGTATCTCACACTGCCACACCGTCCCTGTTTTTATATCCTTATACTCACAGCAGCAGTCGCCTTTACTCCAACTTCCATCTGCACCCCACTTAAGATTACATTCTACTACCTCACTGATCCTAGTTTTATCAGGTCCTGACCCTTCAAAGTGGCCTTTATAATGGCTGCGTGGGAATGAAGACTCCCTGTATTTTTTAAGAATCTGCACAACCTCACTGGAGTGCTCTAGACGCACATAAACTTGTGCCTGACCTTCCCAAGGCAGAAGAAGAGAAACAGAGTAAGTCCCATTACAGTGATCCACAACCTCCCCGTACACACTCGCCTTCAAGGAGAATAGAGAAGGTTAAGTGTAATGCAGAAAACTAATGTCTATTGGTATATCCAATTTTAAAGTATATAAAACTTTAATTTATAAAATGTTGTAAATCAACCATAAACAGTCAAATGAAACTCAGCTAATCAAAGTAAATGTCTTAATTTTTGTAGAAAAAAATAAAATAAATATATTATATAATAATAAAACAAACACACCTTGAGGTTTAAATTGAATAGCTTTGCTTGGAAAAAATCTCCTCCATATCTTTTCAGGTTCTTGTTGTGGTCTCTGGCTGTGATGGTAACAGAGATCTTTTCTCCCACTTTGTAACTCTCCTTGAGTCCCACAATAGAGAATGTTGAGTGGACTGGGCTTGTGCTCTGATCCAGCCGAGTGATTTCCTGATCTGGACTGGGCCAGTCCAGAGTCCTCTGTAGCCGTTCCCACTCCTCTTCACTGATTCCCATGTCATGAAAGGAAATTATGGATGAGGAATTTGTTTTAACCTGTTTTCCTTTAACAGGTTTAAGAATGGAGGGCTGGAATTGTCGACCACTCTCCAGGAATCTCCATAAAGCCTGAAAGATGACCAGTAAGTCAAATTATGTTTAAATGTTAGCGTTGTATCACAAACCAACAGTGTTGGGGAGAGTAACTTTTAAGCAATACAGTACAATATTAAATTAAATATAAAATATACAATTTTCACTTTTCCACGAGAATAAATGTATGTTATGATTGCCTAACGATTATACATTGGCCGGGAAGCCGGCATTCAAAAGTGAAGCGCTTGTTTACCCCAGGGTTCGTAAACCAGCCCACGTGCACACTCAAATACGAGATTTTAATTTCTCCCCCGACTTGATGTCAAGACGGGGCAGGATATACCATATATGGACACCGCAGACATATGCTGCAGGCCAGGAAGCCCGCGCTGTCCCTCTCTCCCCCTCATATTCAGTCAAGAAACATGCAGAAATGTAGTGCACACGTGAGTTGCTCTGTGGTTGACTGCCAGAATCAACATTCAAATGTGTTTTCTCTACCAAAAACGGACCAAACTACTAGGGACCAGTGGATGAAATTCATTTTTAATGACGCTGTTCCAACAACCCTATCAACTGGCTCAACGTTAGGTGTCTGCGCTAAACATTTTACACAGGAATCCTTTACAACGTTCATTTCGAGTCGGACAATAATGCCTACAGAGTCAGAGTGCTGTATAGAGATGGAACAGGTATAGTTTAGTAGTTGAATTACGGTTATTATAATGTATTTGTCATCTGCTTGTATGTATCCATTATTTATTAATAGCCTACAAGTCTGCTGTTTCGGACCAGATCCGAATGATGATCAAACATATACTGATGAGTTTAATAAAGTTTATTGTACATCACACAAGATGAAGCGTCAGTTTTACTTCAGAAAATCACCGTAAGAGCTGAGTAAACACAGTAACGTTAAGTTATAAGAAGTGCGTGAACGTGAAACAAGGCAAAAACAACACATGATAGCAAACGTGATCTCTATAACCACTGTAAGCTGATAAAAAAGTAGACTACATCTCCGTTAATGTAATCTACATTAAATAAAAGGTAAACTTATGTGGGAGAAAATAGCAACAAACGTTTTAGCTCGTTACTGATGTTAATCTATGTCTCAGTCAAAATTATTGTCTTTACCATTCAGAGACATGTTGATGTAGACGTCCTTCCATTGACTCTATATCTTCCGTTTCCAGCTCTGGCTCAAACATATATGGTTGAATTCCGTAGGTCGTGGCCAGGTCGGATTCATTCACAACTTGCGCCATTATGTCATTTTGGAATGATATGCTGAAGTTACCTGCCCCTGTCAAGCCCCCTCCTTCCTGCCACCAATCAATGCGCCCCTCATTTGCATTATTAAAATGACCGTCCACGACAGCCAAAATATCGCATCAGATCTCGCGAGACAATAATGCATTCAGAAATAAGGGTCAGAGGAGCTCTGTGTTTATTTTTTTTTTCCACTTTTCTTTTTTAGAAGGGCCTGATAAGACTATAAGAGAGCATGGGTATCCAAGGTAATACTAGGTTACGACTCCTTTAATTATGTTACTTAGTTACTTTTATGGAAAGAAATGTGTTAGGTTACTTTTTGTTTAACACATTTTTGCACTCAAGAACAGCCAATAGGCTCTATGCACAACTTACTTCCGCATTCTGTAAAACAGATTGCATCACTTCCGGTTCAGGTCTTTTGTATGTGCTTCATGAAATTCTTCGCGGTTTTACTCAAGATAACTTAAAAGGAGCGAGCAAAGATTAGCATAACCAATGTCCCTCACATGTGCAGATTGATATTTAAACGTTTTATATTTTTTCTTCTTCACAGTTTTGTTTAGATATTTAAATGGAATAAAATGCCAATAACAAAGTGAACTAGGTAGGTTAGCTGATTACCTTAAAAATCCATAGATATTGTGGTCAGTTCTTACGGCCGTTAACACTTTCTCTGACAACCGGATGCGATGAGACTTGTTTTCCGGATTGGTCACGTGACGCTCGGCATAAAGCCTATTTAACAGACACCTTCATTTTCTTTTAAAAATACATTTAGAATATCATATATGAATATAATCATATATGAAAATATACTTTCTATATATTCAATATAACTCTTTTAACCAGATACCAGACGAAATGGTTACCTAATATAACCTCATTTCTCTCTAGATGGGGGAACAACTATTACGTAACCGGTAGGGGTGGAACCTACATGAAAAGACATCCAAACCGTTCAGTTCGACTTGAACCGGTGCTGCATGTCTATGGTGCTGCACAAAGCAAGCGGGGAATGACATCAAATTACCGCGAGAGCGACGGCTCCGTATACTTTTCAATCCCTATAGCAGTACTTTGATGTCATTCACCGATCGCTCTCTGCAGAACCGGTTCAAGTCGAACGAGCCAGTAAAAGTGGAGTATGGAGTGCTGTCAGTCACGTCACGCGTAGAAGTGGCAAGTGCGAGAGATAAGGGAGTTGGAGGATGTGCCAGCGTCGTTTAAGTCTGGTGTGGGAACGTTTTGGATTTCATGTTATGATATTTAAAAATATAGCTACAGTGGCACTTTAAGTTCAGAAAAGAACTCCAGTCATGTTTCCAGATGCTGCACTTTATCCTCACTCTTCGGGAATAGAAGCAAGTTTCGAGAAGTTTGTAATCAACACTTGTTGCCCCGGGTGTCAGAGACGCCAGTTAAGGACGATGCAAGATGACGTAACCGAGTGGTGTCTCATTTCATAGGGGTATATTTGCACTAGCGCTTACCACTCGGTTTCGAGGGACAAGGGCTAGGGGTAAGACGAAGGGGAAGGGGTAAGACAGAGAATTGGGATTCAGCCTAACTCTGGGGGAGTGGTAAAATGAGCCTATTTCCAAAAAAAGTGAAGTATCCCTTTAAATGATTAAAAGGTATTTGTTACACATCATGTTTTTCTTTTAGTTTTTTTTAGCTCTTTTGTTTGAAATGGAAAAAAATCTAAAAAATAAAAAAATAAAATAAAAAAAAGGTTTGACTATCAGTCGACTACAGCAAAATGTAACGAATCAGATTCGACTATGAAAATCCTTAGTTGAAAACAGCCCTAAATTGTGATGTTATATCAAAACATCTACAATAAAGTCTAAAATGTATTTGAATTTTGAGCGTGTGCGATCTTCTGTTTTAATTGTATATTTTGTAATAACTGGATCATTTGTGTTAACAAGCAACCACCCGCTTAGTGCCCCTTTTTTGGTTTAGGCCACTGCCCCTCAAAACGTCTGTGCACGGCCCTGAGAAGCATTGTTTATATTGTTTTTGTGTTGAGGTTGAACTTATGTTTCACTTTATGATTATGGCATTTGCTATTGCTGTGGACTAAGTATAGGCAATTATGTTTCATGAATTTTGACTTAAAAGACAGAGTTTTAAGACTTCCTCTCTTTTTCTTTTAAAATATTTTTTTTTTTGTAAGAGCTACACTTAAGTTTAATAAATGCAAGTTAATTTCAATCTTTGTGTGCTGACACTCGGTTTTCTCTGATCTGATTAGTTCAATAAACACGCCAGTCGCTAGAACACATCTTTATCTTTATTTGGCTAAGAAATGTTCTCATTGCCGAAATGGTACTTTTAAAAGGCACCTATATGCCCCTTTTTACAAGATGTAATATTGGTCTCGGGTGTCCCCAGAATGTATTTGTGAAGTTTCAGCACAAACTACTCCACAGTTATTTTATTATAACCATTTGAAAATGTCATTTTTGGGGCCTGTTTTAAAAATGAGCTGTTTTGGTGTGTACCACCTGAAATGTAAATGAGTTGCATATCCCCGCCCTGCCTTTGGATAAGGGCGTAACTTGCATATCTATGGCAGTCGGTCTAAGCAGAATGGCTGAGAGTGAGAGACCCGCTGTTTTGTATGTCATTCAGCCGTACATGTTTGAATCGGAATATATACGTAGTCTCTGATTAGACCCAGATGATGAAGAGACTCTGGCAGAATAAATTCAAATGAGAATGGACCAGGATATCTCGGTGTGGTTATTTGATACATTTATGTACTTATTAGAGTTGTAATCATTTTCATGTAAAATGATTTATTGAGATTGTAAAAAAAATTACTGGGTGGATTTTTATCATTCTAGGGTGGTTTTCAGCCCGAACCCCTCCTACACCATTTTTTGGTCGGGAAGTTCGTTCTGGACTTGATCCATTGAGAAATAATTATGATCAGTCAAAAAATGTTCGGGCCAAGCAAATTGCCTGGGCGGGCTTTATTCGATGATGGAAAGATGTGCAGTTACATAATCAAAGAGCGCTTGGGTTAAACTTGTTTCCCTCAAAGAAGACTGCAGCTGGAGAATTGAGATGTATAGATTCCGCTATCGCGTCTGTTTTAGAAGAAATCGACAGCGAATTAATTTTAAAAGACTAACCAAGAACTGCAATAAAGGCATTTGTCAATCGGAAAGATGTGTTTGCCGTCCTTCCTACAGGATTCGGCAAAAGTTTAATTTATCAGCTGGCTCCATTGGTCGCTAATAAGCTGGGACGCAATGAAAACCCAGTTGTCATTGTGGTTTCTCCTTTGGTCGCACTCATGGAAGACCAAGTAAAAGAAGCAACCGAAATGGACATCACGGCGACGCAACTCATGTCAAAGCCATCGCTGAATCAAATAGTGGTGACGCTTTGTTACTATACTACTCGCACACCATACCCATACTGATAGTCAAGGGGGTCGCACACCGGACGAGAAGCTCAGCGTTGCGTCGTGCAGCGTCACATCTTTAAAATTCGAACACATTATTCTCTATGAGTCTACACACACCGGCGGCACCATTCGCCGTCTGTCCGCGGCACCCAGCAATGGCTCAGGACCGCGTTCAAAATCCTGCTGCGCCACAGAGCGCCATTTACATAGTTTTATATAAAATTAAAATTATTTTTCTCTCAAATCGTTGCTAATGGATGCTGACTTCGCCCAAAGCTGTGATGTACATTTAGTTTTCCATTCATTTACAGAACTCAGCTGCTTGAATGACAATTGCTGATGTTATTGGATTTTTCAGGTGAGATTCTCAATTCATTCAGTTAATGTATGCTCTAAGGTAAAGTTTTCAGACTGCAGACTCTTGGGTAACGATTGGGTAACACTTTAGAATACGGTTCCATCGTTAATGTTTAACTACACTAGAACCAATGAGTAACACAATATTAACAATTTAACTATTATTTACTAACAAGAAACTCTGATTAACGAACTAGTAATTAATAGCGCACATATGAAAGTGGTAGTTCACTATTAACTAATCAATAACTACTATTTTTTTAATACTTCCCAGAGAACTACTGAAAAAGTTTATTAACAATCTAATAACTACTATTACCTAAAAAAAACTCTGATTAACGAATTAGTAAGTAATAGTGCAAAGATGAATGCGTACATACTTCTGTGGGAATTACTAATTGGCTTTATGCACACTGCATTACTTCCTGAACTTAAGCCAGCTCCTTGTTTCCTGTCTGACATTACTGGCCAAACTTGATTAGTTCAGGTGCATCTGATTATTGTTGCCGTGACTACTGAGGTCAGGCACACCTGAATAAATCAATTTGTCCAATAATGGCAGACAGGAAACAAGGAGCTGGCTTAAGTTTAGGAAGTAGCTGTGCATAAAGCCAATTATTTGGATCTGTATTATAAAGTGAAGACCAAGGGAACTAACTAGCAATGACTCAAGTGTTCCTAAAGAATTTTTCTAAAAGTATACTAAAGTTCACCAAAAATCTCAAACGCTAGAAATGACTTTAGTGTTTGGTTGCACAAATCATGCCTAGATCATGTAACACTTGAGTCATTACTAGTTAGTTCCAATGATCTTCTGTAATGAATTGAGGCGAACCAAACACAAATTAATCAAATTCATCTCTCATGGGATTAATTCTAATTTTTAACACTCAAGGTCTGCTTTTGGAGCCATCCAGTCAATGGAATGTGAGCTCCAGAAACTGTTTCTAATGGATCACATTAGAAAAAAAATTAGAATTAATTCTAATTTTTAACACTTATTTTTCTTTGAAATACTTTTTCCAGAGTGCGTGCAGTTCAGTTCTTTTGACAACTCGCTCAACATACGTACCTTACTGCTTTGCTCTGATTGGTTGTAGGTCTATCGAATTGAGAGCAAAGGTTTTTTTTTCCGCCTGGTTCGATAAAGACACGCCTCATAATCAAAGCTCTATGGAGCAGTATCAGACTCATATTCTGAATATGAGTATGACGAAGTCAGGCTAGTGGTTTTGCTCACACACTGCCAACACACATTTAAGTGAATTTTGCATAATAGTTGCATAATTTTGCTTTAATGCACATGTAGCTGACGCTGGAAGGTCAGCTGAGGGGATGATAATTTGGTATGATAATGTTTATTTTGACTTTATAGTTTATTTTTGGATTATTCTATCGTTGAAGTTGAGTGTCATGTGATCCTGTGTGTGCCTGATTAATTCAGCTGGACGTGTCAGCATCAATGTAATGATGAGATTTGAAACTAAAACCGCATGATAGTGCTCCTTGTCTTAAATCTACTGTTGGTTACCAGGCGAATACGGTAAATGTTTTAATACTTTGTATATTATGTTGGTTTGTGTTTGTAGTGGTGTTGTGTGTAAAATTATGGTTTGGTTTTCCTTTGTGTCTGGTTTTCACGGTGTCTCTGGAATAAATAAACAAAAATGGACATCAGTACTTCGGAAGCGTGGACTGTTTTGTAACCAGCGAGTAGTTACAGCACACATACATGTTAAATAAATAAACGAATGAATAATATTGTAAATATTTTTTCCTTACACTTGATGGGTGATTTACACCTTTTCAAATCTCTTGCGCAATTTATTTTATGCTGATTGGATTATGATTGTTAAAACTCTCAGTATAGACCATTTCACAAGATGTAAACAACACTGGTCCAGAAACACTTCCTGTTTCAGTTTGTAACTGTTTTCTTTATTTCACATGTAAAGAAAACATCTTAAAGATGTTTATTTAACTTTTTGATTCAGTTTTAAATGTTCTGTTGGTTGTATTTTATCCCAGCTTTTATGTAGTGTTAAAAAACTGAAACAGGAAGTGCTTCTGGACCAGTGTTGTTTACATCTTGTGAAATGGTCTATACTTCATACATTTACATGCTTTGTTCAATAGTGTCTCAGCACAATGTAAATCCCTGCCCCTAAATGTATATAAATTACAAGGGAACTTCCATACAGCAACACACACCTCATGTTTTCAATAAAGAATCCCGCTGAAGATACGGTATAACCAGTTTCTTGGTTTTTGCTTCTGAGTTCCACTTAGAACAACCCTGTCAAAAAGTGGTGTTGACATCATGCCCCCAGGAGTTGTTGAAAGAATGTTGAATATCCTCACCACACAATGCATAGAAGGTGTTTCCTTAAACTCTTGAACAGAAAATGTCGAAATGACTTTTTTGGCAAATTCATTCAACTAATAGATAATGGACTCTCAGTAAATCACAGGTTTTTCGATTAAGACCATACAGAAAGAAAGATAAGTCGCATCTATAGACCATTTCACAAGATGTAAACAACACTGGTCCAGAAGCACTTCCTGTTTCAGTTTTTTAACACTACATAAAAGCTGGGATAAAATACAACCAACAGAACATTTATAACTGAATCAAAAAGTTAAACAAACATCTTTAAGATGTTTTCTTTACATGTGAAATAAAGAAAACAGTTACAAACTGAAACAGGAAGTGCTTCTGGACCAGTGTTGTTTACATCTTGTGAAACGGTCTATATGAATTACACCATTATAATGAAATTATATATTGAAATATTATTGATATATTAATATATTGCAACTTGAGTTGGGATGACAGAAAGAGGAATTTATGGTAACACTTTAAAATAATGGTCTGTAGTTAACAAGTAGCTATGCCGGAAGTAATAGGTAGTACTGCATTAACACCGAACTTAATACTATTAACTAATATGGAAGCAATATTAACTAAGCATTAAGTAATAGGTAATTTAGTACAAAGGTAGTTCCTTGGTAGGTATTTGATTATTACTAAAGAAATATATCCTCATTGAGAACTACTTGTGAACTAAGAAATAAAAAACAATTAATTACTAATCACATGTTAAAAACATATTAACTCCTAACTAACTACAAGTGTTACCTTGTCACAACTACCTTGTAGTTAGTTAGGAGTTAACATGTTTTTCACTTTAAAATAATGGGCCACATCACTAGTAGTTCCTGCGGGATGACAAGGTAACGTTTAAATAGTTATTGAGGAGTTAACATGTTTTTCACAAATGATACAAGTTATTTAATTTTATATTTGACACATACTGTACAGGTTCTGTGAGGCACTAATGTTCTAACAAACTGTAATTTGGAAGATGTGGTTTTGCGCTTATCGTAACATAAATGCAGCCAATTTCTTCATTAAAGATACAAATTGTTTTTTACAAGTGAACATCAATGTTTATATTCATGTGCTAAAGAGAAGTCCTCCTCAGGCAGCTACTGTAACATAAAGTTATAGGTCTTTGGAGTCTGAGATATATGTGACTGACATTCAATAAAGCTCATAATAGTAAATTAATCCAATCATGAGAGTGTCAGCATCACTTCCTAATTATTTAAGATTTATTTTTAAAAACTGTCTTTATTAGGATTATTTTATGTTTAAGTTTTAAATAAACAGAGAACATGCGTCCATCCTGGCAAGAGTAGTGGTCACAATCTCAACCTATAGCTAATGTATTTGGGGGGATGTATACATTTCATAAACTGGTTTCCACAAAGAACCCATTTGAGGCACATGCTTCTGAAATGTTATGACCATGTTAAGAGTAAACCCCCCACATAATTGGTTATTATTTCTTAGTTCACAAGTTGTTCTCAATGAGGATATATTTCTTTAGTAACAATCAAATACCTACCAAGGAACTACCTTTGTACTAAATTACCTATTACTTAATGTTTAGTTAATATTGCTTCCATATTAGTTAATAGTATTAACTTCGGTGTTAATGCAGTACTATAACTTCCTGCATAGTTACTTGTTAACTACGGACCATTATTTTAAAGTGTTACCGAATTTATATCTAGATGTATAGTTTTAACCTGTTAAAACTATACATTTACAGCAGTTACAATTTTCTACTGTCTTAAATTAGAATTCTGCATTTTGTTTGCTAATTTCATATAGGCTAATTCCGATTTATGATTTGAATTGATATTTAAAATGCATCCTCTTCTCACTTTAGCTGAATAAACACAGCCCTTTTGTCCTTTCAGGGAGAAAATGCTTATTTATTTTTAAAATCAGATTTTGTTTTATGTATACATTTTCTTCTGAACTTACCAGCCAGGTTGATGTCAGAAGAAAACATGCCAGTAGTAATGTATATTTTCTTAACCTGCAGACTGAAGATAAACAGAAACAGTGTAATTTCCAAATCCTTCAAAACATGAAACAATTTTGATCCATAACATAAACTACTAATTACCTGGTGGATTTGATTCATTTGTGGATGGTATGACCATGGCGAAGTCTATTGCTCTTTAGAATGATTTTAAGACCGCTTGTGAGTGAGGTGTCTGGGTGTATTCAAACGACTTCAAACCCATGTCCTGTAAAACCGGCCACACTGCTCTAAAAATGAGGCGTTCCCACCATGGGCGTAATTTGCGGGGGGCTTAGGGGGGTTATGACCCCCTCAAAAATCAGACCCAGCTAATATAACCCCCCCAATATCATCACATCATTCAGATTAGAATAAATATGAAATATTCCGAATTAATATGAAATACATTTGACAGCAAGAAAGATAGTATCATATTTTAAATAATCTGTAATGTATCCTCCTCCCACCGCACCGACTTGGTATTACCCAACCCGCTTTCTCTACCTGTTTAGTACTAGTGTTCGACATCGCCTGCGCCTGGATGCAACCGATCGGCGAGAACAGCCGCGTGCAGGCGGGGAGGAGCTGCAAACGGAGACGTGAAGTCGGACAATGGGCTCTATGCCAGGCGCGCGGAGTTTGCGGGGGGGGGGGGGGAGGAGGGGGGGTGACTGAAACGGGTAATCGAAATTTTTCACACAAAAAAAAAAATGGATTGTTTAAAAAATATATATTATTTATATTTTAAATAACACAAAACAACTAAATGGTGATAGGTAATACATCTGATTTTATATACTGCTTTAGTAAAAAAATAAATGAATAAAATAATTCAGGGCTCTGGGTCAGCTGCTAGCTGGGAATCGCTGGACTTACGTTACCCTGTCACTTGTCACGTGACAAATGACAGGGTAACGTATGTCCAGCGATTCCCAGCTAGCATGTAATAGCGTTTATCTGTTCGGACTCGTTAAGTTACACCAAAATGGACATAAGGACATTTTTAAAACGTCGAGCTCCAAATGACACTAATAGTCAGTCGTCGGGATCTAAGAATACAACACAAACAACAGTAACCGATGATGACGATATGCAAACGGACACTGCTGAAAAATTGGAGGGAACACCGAGCAGCTCTGGAGCAGTAACCGTTAGCAGTCCTGACGTTCACTCCACGGCCACAGATGCGCTAGCTGCAGGTAACACCAACAACGACGATGATCTTGGAGAAAAACACAGCTGTCCCAAGCAACCTGCTCTGCCCCAATTCCCCTCAAAATATTTTGGAAGTACAAAACGATCATTTTCCACTTACTTCTACAAGAATTACCCTTGGCTTGAGTATTCTGTTAGAAATGATTCCGTCTACTGTTTTGCTTGTCGCCATTTTCAGACTGAAAGCTGCATTGAGGACACATTTAGAAAGGGCATGAGTGACTGGGAAAAACTGAGCAGTAAACTAGAGAAACATGGGAAAAGCCAGGCCCATCTGAACTGTATGATTAAGTGGAATAACTTCCAAGTAGCCAGCTCATCCTCAAATGGATCTATTGCAGCTAAACTTTCTGAAAGCCATAAAACTACAGTTGAAAAGAACAGAGGTTATTTATGCAAAGTAGTTGATATTGTGAGGCTACTGTCAAAACTTGGATTGCCCTTTCGTGGACACAAGGAGGGAGAAGAGTCAGAATCGCGTGGCAATTTCCTCGAGGTTTGCAGTTTTTTCTCGAAATATGACGCTGATTTTGAAAAAATGCAATCCAATTATTTTAATGCCACAAGCCCAGATTTTCAAAACGAAATAATTGACATCTGTGCACACATGCTTTACAACAACATTGCTGAAAAGGTGCAGGAAACTGGATTTTTCTCCATAATTGCGGACGAGGCTAGGTCCTCCAAAACTGAGCAGCTGTCAGTGTGCATTCGTTATACCGAGGAATTGGAAATCAAGGAGCGTTTTTTGTGTTTCATGGACTGTTCTGCATCTCGCAATGCGGCTGGGATTGTGGAGGCCATCTACAAAGGGCTTGATATGTGTGGTGTTAAAAACATCCCAATTGTGGCACAGAGTTATGACGGTGCGTCCGTCATGTCAGGTCATGTGTCTGGTGTGCAGCAGCGCATCAAAGAGACTCACCCATACGCTGCCTACATACACTGCTTAGCGCACAAATTAAATCTAGTGCTTGTGGAGTGCTGTTCCGTGAACCGATGTGTGAAATCATTCCTGAACATTATTGACAATGTGTATTCTCTGGTTTCGGAACCGTCAAACCACCAGAGATTTATTGAACTCCAAAAATCCTTGAACGTGAAAGTAACTGAAGTAGTTCAGCCCGGTGACACGAGATGGGCATGCAAGTGGAGATGTGTGAAATCAGTGAAAAGTCACTACTCTGCGATTATGGAGTGTTTGAGAGAAATTAGTGAAGAGGGAGATAAGTGGTCAGCGCAAGCCAGTGGTATCCATGACTTTATGTCAAAAATGTCATTCATTACAAGCCTTGTTGTGTTTGAGGAGCTACTGCGTGTGATCCACGTTACGCACAAGGCACTACAGTCATCCAACTGCACACTGTCCGAAGCTGCAGCCCTTACTGACGGCCTGAAAGCACACTTCGTGTCTAAAAGGCAGGCAGACTGGAGCGATGTGTGGAAGTCAGTCAAACAGTTCTGCCTGGACAACAACATTGCCGTGCCCGAAGAAAACACTGATCGCCAGATTCACGTCTCCGAAGGCCCCGCCGCACCCAAAATTAAATGCGTTTCAAATCCGCCCACCTCCCTTGATGGTTTCTTGATTAACAGTACTTTAGGGCAAAGGGAAACAACCCACGAAGAAACAGCAGAGAGTCCTGGCTATCAGCAGAAACTATATTTCCCTGTGCTGGACACTCTCATCAATGAGCTGGAAAGGAGGTTCTCCGGAGAGTCCATGGAGCTTGCACGCGCGTGTGCCGCAGTTTTGACATGCGACGAAAATGGAATTGATCCACTAATAAAAAAATACACTCCTCTGGCACTAAAAGTTAACCCCCTTCTTGTTGCAGCCGAGATGAAGCTTGTCAAAGCCTCTGCTAACGGACCAATTTCAATTGAGCATCTTAAAAAAACGGTAAAAAAAAACGACCTACCCAAATCTCTATAAACTTGTACAGCAGGGCTGTCGCCAGAACAAACCAATTGGGGGGGCATTTAATTTTCATAGGGGGGCACACTTTTTTTAATGGTCTGAGACAGACCAAAACAACAACCATATTAGGCTTCAACTAAAGTAGACCACAATAGTCTTGTTTTATTCATTTTATTTAAATAAAATACTTCACTGTATGATCTCAACGTCTCTGTTTATTTTCTCTTAACATTTACACATATAGCTTGCTAGCCTAGTAGCCTATATTTTTTGTTAATCTGCATAGTTCGTCACATACACAACACAGTGCCATCTAGTGGCTTTCTTGAGTAAAAGGCGCAATCAACGTAATATCATTAGTCCAAAGTCCAAACTAAGTAAAACTATGCCAAAACCAAATTGATTTATGACTCTACACTTCATAAAAATGAGTCACAAAAGCACCTGGTTTCCACCAACAATACAGCAATAATAAAAGCAATGCATAACATACTGCAATACAAATTTAGCAATGTAGCAGACAAATTCTCTATTCTTACCTTTCTTATACTGTCTGTTCCTACCATCTAATTAGCTCCAGAGTCGTTTCCACGCACGTTGTTGTTGGTCAAAAGTCGTCTTTGTCAACGACGAAACTTTAAACCACTTAGCATAAGCTTTGCTGTAGGCCTACAAAACCATAGACTATGTACAAAACCACCAGAATTTGATTCTCCGATCGCATGCACTGCGCAGCTGCGCAAAGGAATTACGTATAAACAATACTGTATGCTTAACTAAATAAATTGCATTGTTTATATTATTTATTTATCCTTAAACACAAACTGCATATTGTAATTTGAAGAAGTAAAAATACTAACACAAAAATAACAAATTGAAAGGTCTGCTGCTGGAGACTTGCCATTGGCTGTTGAATGTGAATAATTAATGAGGTAGGTCTTTGCAAGGTTTGGGTGCTGTTTTGGGATGTTTTAACAGTCATTTATGAAAATAATTATATTTCAAGTTACGTTCTGTGTAATAATGCGTTGAATAATGAATTTCTAAATAATTTCTGAAGATAATGTATTATACATTCCTACCGTTGTAGAGCTTACCGTTCCTGTGAGAGTTATGCAGAAAGACCAAGCTCTGTTCGACGTAATTATTATTATTAGCATATACATATTTACATCTATTGTCAAGCTCATGCGTAGGTGGGCACAGTAAGTCGTTTGGGGGGGCACTGCCCCCCAATGCCCCCCCTTGGCGACGGGCCTGCTCATTCTGTGTTCTGAAAACACATTTTTGAGCGTGGAGAACGAATTTTCGCAGGTTGCTGTAGAAGCACCAAATACCAAAGCCAGTTGGAGTGCCGTCAACACAGTGGGCATCGCTTTAAGCGTTTTGTAATGTTTGGACAACAGTCCCTGAACTGTCCATTTCTCCTTGGAGTCGTCTTCCATTTGTGATTGTAAAAATCGGCGTGCGACGCAGAACTCTGACTCTACTATCTCCACTCCTACTAAATCCATAATGTGTTTGATTTCTTCAACATTCAGAAAACTTTTATTTTCTGGGTCAAGAGCTTCCAATGTGCTTATCAGCTTCCCATTGCGCTCACTGAAACGCACATCCATTTCTCCAATTACGGCATCAATCGCACTGAAAAAAAGTCTCTTCAGCTCCGACTTGTCATTTGTGTCCTTTTGTCCCATACTCTCCTCAAGAACGTACTCGTCCAGGTTCCTGTTCACAACACGTTTTCTTTTGCTGGCTTGTGTGGGCTCGTTGTTGTTGGTAGCAGTACTCCAGAGCTCGTTAAATGCATCGTCACATCTCAGATCACGAACACAGTCTATCGCACTTTGCACGAGTTTCACTGCATTCAGTAGGTCCATTTCCTTCGCCTGTAGCTGTTTGTTGGGCGAGTCCAGAAGCAGTAATATATTGTGCACACTATGTCCAATGAACACAAAACTGGGCTCCTTTATCTGGTGTAAAAGGCCAGTTGCCAGCACTCTCACTTCTGATGCAAAGGCCCGAGAGCTGCTCGTCTTTGACAGTACTGCAATGATATCCTCCAAGTTTTTAAGGACCACAGAGACCGTTGCTAGATGGCCTGTCCAGCGTTGGTCAAGGAGGCGCTTCAGGGTATCACCTTTATAGTGAGTGGAAACGGTGGGCTTTTTCAGGAAATTATAAAGCATGCCACACACATTAAAGAAGTCACCAATCGCTTCTTCAGCCGACAGGGCATGAACGACCACAAGGTGCAGCTGGTGGTTAAAACAGTGGATGTAAGGGATTTCTCTGCCAAGTCTATCCTGTAGAAGTTTTTGGACTCCTCCGTGTTTCCCAGACATGAGGGATGCACCGTCATAGCACTGACTCAATATCTTTGCAGTGCTGAGCCCCGCTTTTTGAAGTTCATGTAAT